AAAAATACTCATCATGACGCCCCAACATCTAGGAACAAGGTGCATATTTTTTCAGGTTTTTAGCTCTCTTCCGGTTACTCAGGATTTTTCTATGTCAGTAGTTTTCTTTACCGCCCGGTAAAGATTACATTTGGTGTAGTGTTACAGGGTCCAACATAATGTGGAATTTCTGCGGCGAAGCGTTTCACGATGCCTGCCTCGTTATTTTCGCGTTCGTGTCGAACGGCCGGGCCAAAGTTGACCATATTTCAATCTTCAAAGAATAGACGGCCCAATTGTTTGAGGGAATTGTCAAAAGAGTAGCCGCGGACGATTGTTCTGGAAGGATTTCCTGCGCCTTGATTTTGCAAGTCTATTCGAGCGGCAGCGTAATTTGACAGACCAATTCGACGCAAAGTTATGATACGTGCTACTCATAATTCCACAGCTTCGGAAAACTGGAAGCACCAGGCGCACTTGCCCAAGCTCCATCGCGACAGGCACCCCGAGTACAACAAATTCAGCACGTTTCAGCTATCGATCCATACATAATATGGTCTTTCTCGAATAAGAGTACATCATTCCAGGCATACACCGTCAAATTACTCGTACCACAATGTGATTACTCAGCGAACATGTACGATGCCACAACGGAGACCTGATGGGTCAAGTTGAAATCGTCGAGGTACACCAATGTAAAGAATAGCTGGCAAACGTCGATCATGGCCGCACAAAGTCAAAAGACAAGACCTGACATAAAATCTATGACATAACATAGTACGGCAAATGGCACACTGCCCAATCACGGACACGCCCCGGTTTCCTTCAATCTCAATCTGAATGCTCCGCAACAATGTCAATGGCTTGTAACCCTCACTTTGAAACGGCCAATAGTGATTTAATAAATCCTAGGATGACCTCCCACAGTCCAGCTCCTGTCAGCGGTGGCAACCAAGCGGCAATCTGAAAGCTGTACGGTTCCGTTAACTTCATTCACTGAGAGAAGCTCGAGGGAAACCTACAAACCTTGACCGTCCAAGTACCTTCATGGTACGCCGCCGTGTTGCCAAAAAAATCGACAATATTCCCAACGTCGACAATAGTCAAATCTAAGCGACACAGTAGTTCCACGTCACAACTATACTGAGCAACGAATTCGACATAACACAGATCCTGCATTGGGTTTCGACGTTAATACATATGCGCAGCACACCGACATTGGACAGTTCTGTGGCTTACCGCGTCATCCCAATCTCTATGCATTACGGTAAATATCAAGTCGTTTGCGTCGTAGGAATTGTCATGCCAATGCCTGAAGGAGATTACTCTGCCGCGGCTCCTTACCGCGATAGAATTTGCCAGCGTGGTGAAACTTGGTCTCAACCCATCGAGCTCAATAGTACAAGCCTTGTCTGCATATAGGACTGAGCCCGATGGCCGAGGTCCCCCAATCACTGACCCCTCCACCCGGTAATATTGGGCAGCTCGTAGAGTTGGATTGCAGGCCTCCTCTGCAATACGCATATTCACAACCATTAACTCACCCCTTCCCACTACCGCCTGAGTTGCAAAAAAGTTCTGAGGTCTTGCGTCAGCAGACTCGTGCTCAGTCTGTAACAAAGCATATCCATTAGTGTATGCCCTCTTGAAGCCTGGGACGATGTGGCGCCACCAACCTTGGTTGTCAGTGCAAACACGCCATTGAACCGCATTTCACAGGAACCACGCATAGTCGAATTTATACAACGCAAGTTTGAAGCCATGTGTACGGTTGATTATCGAAAAGAATGTGATTTAGCAAATGATTGCGATGGATGGTCACGTAGATTTTGAAATATTTAAAATTTTAATTGTTGTAAAGTGATTGTAAATGAAAGGTCATTCATGAGTTCGCCGCGCAATGAGAGGTTTATAACCTATGGAGACCCCGCTGCTAAGCAGAAGAGACACGTCGAAAAAATCTGATGCTCCACCACACCCTGGCCATGAAGGCCTCGGTGGAGATGCCTGGCAAATTGCAGCCACGTTGCCAATTGCCAGGGTCTTGACCCACAGTTTCACGGACGTGTTGCAGCCACGACCCTATCATCAAACATTTTGGGGCACCATTCCTTCGCTCATGGTTCGATATATGAAAATCGATGGACCATAGCCCAGGGTCCGCCTGCGAGCGATATTTCCGATGCGAATGTCAGACATCGGCGTCTGTAACGAATGGAAAGCAAACCGTGGAAGCTGGGTGAAATACACAGCGATGATTGTAACGAAGCCTCGAAGCAATAACTCGGCAAACGAACAATCTTTTCTTTAACTCATTAAGACATGCGGGGGATCGAACGCTACAAAAAACCCCAAAATAAGACGAAGACAAATAGCAGAAAATGAATGGACAAGCAGTAGAAGATCTGTCTCGTAGAACACATTCATTCAAACATTTTAACAAAACTTGTATTAAGCATAGCTGGGACATTTCAAAAGTAATGGTTAATCCATCATAGTTTACGACGTTTGCCCTCCTGGAGCCTGGTGGAGCCGCTTGGACCTGCTACCATGGCATCCGCCGTCGGGTTTACATTCTCATCGGTGGCTGCATTTGCGACCTGTTGCAAATAGGAGGCTAGCGCAGCGTGGTCTTCAGCCGTAGGCTTAGGCATCGGTTCCACGGCTCCAGAGGCATGTAACGCGGAGGGGCTGACGCAATGCAACTCAGTAAAAGTCAGTGTTGCTCATAATGCAGGTAGAGATGCGCATTCAGGTACAGAGGAGGAATTTGTACCTCGAAAATGTTGCCATTGTGAGGCTCGTGTTTGATATTGACGCAGGCGTAGGGGAGCTATCTGGTCCACTCACGGTGGTCTCGGTGGCGCTTTAGGGAGAACGTATTAGTATGGGGTGGGTTATGCAACTGAGTGAAACTGGGTAGACTTACCGTGCCAATCTAACCCTGCCACCTTTGGTCATCCGGGTCGCAGTGGGAGTCGCGAGGGTGGCACCCGCCCTGATACTCTCATGGCCAGTAGCGACCGAGATCGAATACACCTAGTGAGGGCATAGCATGAGAATCAGATCATAGGACCACAGAATAGGCAAGGGGGACTGACCTCAACTTGAAAAGTATAACTCTTGACCTCCCTGCCACCGACGATGTTGGATTGAATATGCTTGCCTGCAATGTAACCATGTACACTCGTTTCTTTGCCGATTTGAATGATATTGAGAGCTTTGACGAGGTTTTGAACTGGCCGGCACCAATACTCCAGTAGAAACTCGCAGAGTTTTCCAGTCTAGGAGGTAACAAACAACGAAAACAGGGATAGGAACACAGAGATTAGTCACGATCATCACGCCGTCAACGCAAGCAGAGTGCACCTACCATGGGGTTGTAGTCAGTGTGGCGCATCAAGAAGACACACGTAGGTTTACCCTCGTGGGCCTCTTCTTGCACCACCCGCTTGCTGACCACGATGCCAATCGAGTTGAGAGATACGTTGTTGGTCAAGCAACCGGAAAAGGTGTCCGCGTCACCGGCAGGGATGTGGTGACTGAGTTCCGTCACAATGCGAGGGATAGGCTCTCCATTCAACGGTAGGAATTTCCCTGAAGTGTAATGCATGTTTCCGACAGCCAGACCGATGCCTTGAGCTGCATAGTAAGTGATGAAAAGCTCGTGCTCTAGAGGAGAACTGCCGTTGATACCAGCACAGTTTATTCCAGATGTGACAGACCGAAACCCGTACGCGGCGTTGACGGTGGTTGGAACCTAGAAATCAAACGTCAATGGAATATGACACCTTGGTTGACCTGAAAGTAACAACGACGACTAACTTGGGCGTGTACCTCAAAGATGGAAGAGACATAGGCTGGCTGAGATCGGCGATTTACTCCCAAAGACATACTTAAAGATAGTAGATGATCAAAAGGTAATGAAGGGGGGGGACACGGCAGACAGATGAGTGTCACCCAATAGAACACAGGAGCTTATATACGTCAAAAATGGCATTCGCACCTTTACTCTGCCTTCACCGGAGGACGCACACAAACAACTCGCACCAAATAGCATACGAAAAGCACGCCACCGACCTGTCCAGATGACTGGAGGTGTTTAAAGTAAGTGGTGCAAGGAATGTGTTCCGTTCCTTCACAGTGTATGTGACGATAGCGGGAAGGTATTAACGCAAGGAGCACACGCAGGAATGCATCTTGGAGGTGCTGAGCTTATCTTGGAAGCAACCACAGCAGATCGAGCACCGCAACTGTTACGTAACGGGGAGAGTATAGCCATGAAACATATATAGTCAGGAATGTACCGCACTGACAACGGCGGCCTAACCTCACCTCGGGTGCAACCACAATCATGTCGACCGTCCGAGTTGCCCTGGGACGTGTATAGCCATGAAACAGAGGAGTCCATGGCTTCTTAGGCTTACTCTGTGACGTGTATAGCCATGAAACATACATATTTATGGGTCTTGATGGCTTGTGTGTCAAGGAAACATTCGGCTCGGCACTTTTTTTACAAGAAACCCATGTTGTCTTATTGTAGGTAATTTTGAAACTATTTCGGAATCAGGCATTCCATATGAATCCTGAAGTACGTCTAGTTCTTCGATGAAGTCAACCCAATCCTCTTCTGGCTTTCCACTATACTTCAGGTAGTTATCTACCTTCGGATAGTTCCTAGCGCTAGTATATTGTTGGGCAGATATCTCCACAATATCTGAAGTAGCTTTGTACGCGTCTGTTGCATGATTTACACCACGATTTCCTGTGGTCCTCAACTCAGCTTCACTTACACCTTGAGTACTCTCCACAAGTATCTTCTCCGTTACTAACTTCTCTTGTTCAGACTGTAGTCTAGATATATTCCGAGACACATTGTCAATATGTGTCTTCATATCCTGAAATTGACGCGTAAAATCAATTTTCAATTCTCTGATACTTTGTCTCTCATTGTCACGATTCAGAGTCAATTGTTCCATGGCTTCACACATGTTCGATGTGTCCCTGGTCAATTCCTCTGAAGCCGTTGTGGAAATCAAAATGTCAGAAGGGTTCAATTTATAATCTTACAAAACATCTACAGTCTAAATCTCTTTTAAGGACTACACCTGAGACTTTCTGGACTATCCAGGGATCTTGTCTCTCAGACTCTTTATTCAACACTCTCATATTTGTTGTGATTACTTTTTCATCAAGACATGTACATTCATTTCAATATTCTAACTTACAACTAAATAAAAGAAGCCAATAGGAGGAAACATAATAGACCAAGAGTCAATAAATTCAAGGTATCAATAGTTAACTAGATCCTAGAACAGAGCTTGATCAGGAATCAATAACAAAATAACAATAAAACAAGTGAACAGGACTGTCTGAAGGTGGTAATAGGCTGGAAGCAATTCAGAATTGGTTAATAGGAATGTTATATCAAAGTGAACCTCACCTGAAGGAGATTAGGATGATCAATCCGGGCTAATAGCTTAGAAACAAACTCTACAGTATGTACAAATAAGTTAAAGGCAGTCAGCAACCATCCAAAACTAGAGGAAAAAGAAATAACATACATAGAAGAGTTATCAAATTCAAAGGCTGAGATCGAAATGATTAACTGAACATGAGGATCGATTTTGGGGTATATACCTAGAAAAAACAATTAGAAAGTGTTAGTGGGATGTGAAAGATCAAAACAAATCAGAGATGAAAGTTTGAGGAGAAATTTTGAAGGTGGTGGTTAGAAAGAGGCTGGGATCGATTTGAATGGAGCCACAGTCTTTAGAAGATGAATACAAGACTCACCTTAGTTCATACTTGAATCATATCTTCATCAAAGATCAAAATCGAAATTAGAAGATGATAGGAAGTTCGATTTTTGAGGTTGATGTCCCAAGCTAAACTAGATTAAGATCAGGTCTCGAGATCGAAATTGGATAGAGTATGTTGAAGATGGTATTGATAAGAGGTTCGATTTTGGGGGACAATCCCTATAATGAGATAATTGAAGATGGAAATCAGAGCTGGAGATCGAAATTAGATAGAAATCAATCTTAGAAGATGAACAATGTAAGAAAACAAATAAGAGAAGAATTGAAAGGTACTTACATATTAACATGAATGATAAAACAACTTGGAGAATGATCGGTTGGAGTAAAAACAGGTTGGGGTTGAGATGTGAATGATCGAGTTTTTGGGATTGAGGAAAGGTATAAAGAGGGCTTCACTTGAGAGGAGGAAAAGAAAAAAAATCATCAATCCATCAGTTTTATGTGTGTGTGTTTGCGTGTGTGTCTTGAGAGTGTTTTCTTCTTTTCTTTTAAAGTATCAGGTGTTATCGAGTGTTCTTTTTATTAGCGTCTTGTTTGTGTTGTGTGTTTGAAGTTTAAAGTCCTAAAAGTTATTGAATGAGAGTATAATGTTTTTAGTTAGTAGTGAACTTCTTTGATAACAGAGACAAAGAAAAGTAATCCTACCTTGAGTCTAATTGTTATCAGGTGTTATTGTGTGCTTTCTTTCTTTTTTTTGCTGAGCTCGGTGATTGAAGTCTATAGTCTTATTTTTATTTAATTATTATATTTTATTACCTCAAAAATCGAAATTTGGCCCCGAGTCCAAGTACTATACCTTCCGGATAAAACCCCACCACCGACAAAGCCTCTTCCCCCTCTTTACTACCGTAATTGCACTTGTGTGTGATTTACATCAAGTTTCGCCAAACCTGCCTCTTGATCCAAGTCGAGGCCAGGTCAAGTCAGGTTCGGGAATTTATTCCAGTCCTGTACAGCTGTGTTACACCAGCGTAACATTCAACAATCAACCGCAATTCACATATCCTTGCATTACCACCTTGTGTAGGGTGGTGTGTAGTATTATTAGACTCCGCCAAACGCTGCGCATCCAAGCGTGTGGTGTAAACTAGGTTTCAGAAAACCTTAAAAAGACAAAGAAGTAAAATTGAGAAGCCTCATCTTAAAACTCGAAATCTTTTTTGAAGGACGAGGGCAGCTTTGCAGCACCTGTAGTTTCATCCGCTCTCACAAGTGGTGATTCTTCCCCTCTCCGGCTCAGCCTACGCTACACTGCGTAGGAGTTCTACACTGTGCTCGTTATGTGCATTAGCTGTGCGATGGCCTGTTGGTCCCTTCCATGCTGTTCTAATGCTTGTTCAAACACTTCTAGTTTACTATCTAGTACTTCATTTATTTCCACGACATTGTCGATTAACTCTTGTACTGATAACATCTCGTTTCTCATTAACTCAATGCTTTCGGATTGAATCAACATTCTATCTTTACAAAATGTGATTCCCTCAGCTTGGGCTTTTAATTGACCATTAATTGTCCCAAAATTCACTCGCATGACTGTTTCCAGCTCCACTAGCTTTGTAAGCATAGTATTATTGCTCGGTAAAGACAGTGAAGCTATATTACTAGTACCATTATGACCCCTCGACCCAACTTTTACATTAAGGGGACTACTTGTAGTTATAGGATTCGATACAAGGGAAGCAGGAACAATACCCGGTATAGCTTTAGAAGCAGCAACAGGTATTACAGAAACGGCAGATGGTGTAGAGACAGCAGCAGGCCCAGTAGATGGCAGCAAGGAAGCGGAAGATACATGAGTAGATACATTTCCTTTCAAGCCTTTCTTACTAGCATCATTCCTTCCGGAACCTGAAAGTTCTCCTGACCCTCCACCATGACTTGCATGGACCCCGATGGCTGAGCTACCACCATCGTTCCTTTGGGGTGAGGGTACTGTGGGTTTAACTGTATATGTTGAGGAACCATCTGTGGATTTATCGGGTGAGACGCCTTGCGTTTGTTTGGATAATTTTCCACCTGTCGTGGTTGACTCGACGGTATAAATCTGTTGTTTACCTTTTGAGTAAACGTCAAATTCGAGCGAGGCTTCACCTCCCTGATGGGGCGGTGCATCCCGAGGTAAGTTATCTCCGGGGACGGAGCCTTGAAGCTGACTAGTCGAACTTCCAGGTCCTCCACATGGCTTTTCAATTGGTGCACTTGCCGTTCGTACGCTTGGATCGTCTCCTTTAGGACCACGATTTGAGCGTCCTTGGGGTCGTTGCGTACGAACTTCAGATCTCAAAGGGTTTGTAAGCCTTCCCGATCTAAGTCCTGTGGTAATTGTTGGAGGTAAGTCAAACAGCCCTTTACCTCGCTTCGATACGACAGGATCACCTACTTCCATCGTCGTATTGGTAGCATTCACCGACGGGTCACCGTGAGTGTAGACTATGAGATTGCTTTGATCATCAACGATGGGGTTCGCTCCAACCGGAGCTTCTCCCGATGTCATAGCATCGGTCATTACCGTGTCTGTCGCGGAACTGTTGTTCACAACCGCCTTACTACCCTTCTTACCACCTTTAGTGGTAATCACGGCCGCAGTAGCAAGAGCGGGTGGGTTGATCTCGTTGTTGGACATATTGTGTCTATCGAGATCAACGTCACCAGCCATTATGACGTTTGAGTTATAATGGGTTAAGATTCAAGAAGGAAAACAAAAATTAAACGTAGCAATAACGAGATCAAAGGATGAAGAACGACAAGATATTGATTTGTAAGAAAAAATCCACAGTAGTCAGTATCCACTCGTACTACAAATTCTCCTCAGTTAATACAGAACAAACCTGTATTGTTAAAAACTGAGCTTTTAAATGGGCTGTTATTTGTTCGGAACCGAATAAGATCAGTCAGAGTCTAATACTATCGTAAAACAACCACAATTGTTAGTTATTTTTTGTTAAACTATCCCCAAGACCGACTCACGAATGACGATATATCTTGGGATCTGTGATAGTTGATAGACGAAATTTGTACGATTTGGATGTAGCTATAATAGACCGTTCAAAATTTAATCAGCTTCCTTCTTTCTAAAACACGAAAGAAATTCAATGATTATGCTCTTTTGTTATACTCTGCAGATATGTTGCAGGACTATAACAAAAGAAATCAAAAAAATATGTATATATATGATATCCTAGCAATTTAGGCCAGACCCCCAATTGTCAACAAGCTTAGGTTTATAACCGTAAGTTGTTACAAATATTTATGGATTGACAAATCCAGTTCACGAATATGAATCAAAGAACTATAGCCTTTACAATCAAGCAAGATAAACGCGTGGACAACACTAACCAAACTGGTTTAAATTAATTTTAAAGGAGTTTGGAATGAGGTGGACGCGAGGTTTGTAACTGTGAGCGATTTAAGCTAATAGTTGATTAATTTGATTGAATAAAAGATAGAGCGAAAAGAACAAATCATAAGAAAAACAAGCTGGGTTTTATACCCTTAAACAACCAACTCAAACACGTACAACTTGAGCAATTTTACAATAATATCATATTCACGTAATTGTGGAATTCCGGTGGCACATTCTAGAATATTA